GACATTGAAAATAAAATTGTCCTCATGCAAGTTTTACTTTCAAATTGCTAATTTACTGTATTGTACAAGTTGGACCCCTATAGAGATATCACTGATTCAGAAATATAAAAAAACAACAACAAAAAAATCCCTACCTACTAACCCTAATTTTTACATGACTAAAACAGGAACAAAACATTTTTTCCCTATGCCTAACTGAAACTCTAGACGGCTCTGGCGTCACACATTTGAAAACACAGCAAAATGGCGGCTGCACCGTCTAGTTTGGGGACACAAATCCGTGAAGAACTGTCCTGCAGCATCTGCCTGGAGCTGTTCACCAGGCCCAAGGTGCTGCCCTGTCAGCACACCTTCTGTCAGGGCTGCCTACAGGGTGTTGCAGGGTGGGGAGGGACCTTCTGGTGCCCAATCTGTCGTCGTCAGGTCAGGCTGCCACCCCGGGGGGTCGCAGGTTTGCCAGACAATCTCATGGCAGCAAACATGTGTGAGAAGTTCCAACAACAAGCTACAACATCAGAGGAAACAAGGCAGCAACCCCAGTCTGCAAACAGGTGCTTTTTTCACCCTACTGAAGTGTACAGAATATACTGTAAACAATGTCAGATGCCAGTTTGTGACGAGTGCATAGAGGGGGCTCATAATGGTCATCTTCTAACAACCATCAAAAAAGCTGGACAGGAAAGCAGACCTACAGTCCAGGCCTTGATCCATGAGGGGAGGAACATTCTGGAAAGTTACTGTGGCTTCATCAGAGGTCTGAGAGAGACTGAAAAAATCCTGAATGAACAGAAACAGCAGACAGACAATGCTATCACTCAGGCTTGCAATGAACTCTTGGCAAAAGTGGAACAAAATCACACGAAAAACTTGGAGAAAATACAGACTGAAAGGGACCGAGTGTTGGCAAATGTCAATGAACTGTCTGCTGCCTGTGATCGAGCAGAACAAGAACTGCAGCAGGGAGGGGTCGAGATTCTCGGTCAGCAAACCGCTCTGACAGAGGTGGTAGGAAAGTACAGAGGAAAAGCAGCACCAACTCCTGTACAAACCCAGCCTGCTGTCTTTCAGCCCACAGACACCCCCGTGCCAGTATTGGGACATGTGACGGTCCAGTCTCTCCCATCTGCACCAATCCCAGCAGCACTTGCAGCAAGGGGCACAGGTCATCACCATGGTAACCAAAGGCAAGAGGAGCATCAGCCTCAGAAGGTGACATTTGGTGGACTGGGATCAGGAACAGGACATGTACAGTTCAGGCGTCCATGGGGTGTCACAGTGTCAGATGAAGGGGAGATTTTTGTAGTAGGGAGGGGGAACCTGAGAATCCAAGTCTTCACCCTGCAGGGAACGTTTGTACGACAGTTCCCAGCAGTCGTGTCAGGTGAACAGGAGATGTACCCATATGATATGGCCATGGACGGGGAGGGGAACCTGTGGGTAGTGGGGCGAGTGTGGGTGGGGTACACATACTCTGCTAACTTTGCTGTACAGTTCAACAAACAGGGCAGCGTGCTGAGGAAGATTGACCTACAGGAGACAGGGTGGCCCAGAGGAGTTGCCGTGGACACCAGGAGGAACCACATCCTCATCACACAAACCACAGGAGACAGGGACAACCGACATGGTGAAGTTTTGGTGTTCAGGCCAGATGGAACACTTGTGGGAACTGGCGGTCAGCAGCAGGGGATGAAGGGACCACAGTACATCACTGTGGACAGGGAAGGGAACATTCTTGTGTCAGACAAGGACAATCACCGTGTCTTTGTGTACAGCTTTGAGGACGGACAGTTTCTGTTCCAGTTTGGAGGCAGGGGAAGTGGTGAAGGTCGGCTAAAGCATCCCCATGGCATCTGTACAGACAGGACAGGTAACATCATCGTGGCAGACTGGGGAAATGACCGTGTGGAGATGTTTGACAAGACAGGAAAATTCCTCAAACACATCACTACAGACATGGTGAGGCCACAGGCTGTTGCCATGGCAACACAGGGACAGCTGGTAGTAACTAATCATATGGAGGACAAAGTCAGCATATTCCAGAACTTCTGAATCTAAGTGAGGTGATTAAAAAATCTTAAAGCAAACAATTTAGTCTATTAGTAAACCAATCTGTAAGAATATCAATGTGTAAACTCTGTTGTTTAATATAAAGCTTTTTACTTTAGCACAGGTAACTATCTGGTAGAAAGAATTCATCTTAAAATAAACTACTCAAGATCCCAGCCTAAAGGCCTTCTAGAATATACTTAACTAAAATCAAAGTTTGCCACTAATAGATACAGTTAGAACAGAAAATGTACACCTACATGTAACAAAGGATATTATTATATATTGATCAAAAGTAGGAATAGAGAATATGATAGATAATTTAATCAGTAAACAATAATGTAATGAAAAAAACTGTAATTTTTTCTAAAAATACATGTATCTCGAGAGAGAAGAAGAGAAACATGTAAATCATTACATATTTTAGGTAATATACATAATGTATAAAACATAGCCTAGTTTCCCTATCATACATTTCTTCTGAGTTTCCGTATTATATATTATAGTTTCCTCTCAGTATTTTTAGTGTACTTAAGAATTGTGACTTAAAGTATATGTAAAGAAGTGTGTAATTCAGTTGGCAGACTTGAAATGCTTCTTGTTGTTTTACTACAAATAAACCATTCAAAAATATATTACTCTCTTGAAGCTACCTTATTTACTGTATTTAGCCTAAATGGGGAATGAATATGCAACATACTTCATTGTCATTGTCAATAAAAGTGCAAATTGACTTTATAAATAAGTTAAAAAAAGAAAGTTGTCATAATGATACTACACTTAATTCTAATACAATGTATTTACAAAATGTATCCGAATAGAGTGAATTCATTTTATCTGAGTCATCTATGCCAAGAAGACTTCAAAAGTTTAAGGTTATACCCATTGGGGAAACAATCACGCGGTAGCTTGTTCTATAGTGTCTAAATTTTGGTTAGATTTATCAGTTTCAGTTTATTTATTTAACCAGAAGATACACTCAGGTCATTTGACCTGTTTTTCAGGTAGATCTGGGTACAATAAAAATGCAGAAACAATACAATGATAACAACACAGTACATAGCACATAATAGCCATACAGCAGTACAAATACAATATAATTACAATGAGTTTTTGAAGGCCGTTACAGTTCGGAGCTTTCTCTGTTCTATTGTGAGCTGGTTCCACAGCACTGGACCCTGGTACTGTATCATAACGTTACATGTACATTGTACAGTACAAGCTAGAGCGTAAGTAATGTAAGAGACTTCTGGTCCAGTTGGTTGTTGAAAAAAAGACACTGGAACAAAAAAAAAAGGAAGCCTGATATTGATAAAAACACATATTAAACACCTCAGAAACTTGGGCCTAAAACTCTGGTTTGAGAGCATTTAGCTCGAGCGTTACTTCTGGTTCAGTTCACTGATTATATATTATGCATATATATGTCAAGATTATATATGATATAATATTGATAAAAATGCCTAAAAACATGTGAAAAACAGGCCAGAGACTGAAGCTCAGATTGAAGGGTATTTAGTTATGATCCACAGTTATCATACATGTACATGTACAAGCTAGAGTGTACTAAGTAATGTAAGCTGGAGCCTTCTGGTCCAGTTTGCATGTCCCACTTCCTGTCCAAGGCCAGGCAATAACACAGCTAATTTCCCGCCGGGAAGTGGGTAATTTTTCAGCCAGGCCGCCCGCCGCTGTTCTCACTAACTGCACAAATCAGCCGGCCAGACTTGGCGGCAGGAATAAATGGACTATTAACTACAACAGGACCACACACATCAGTGCCTACATGGGGGGTCCCAACAATCTTATGAGGGCCTGCATGGGGGGTCCCAACAACGCGAGCAATGCTCTACACTAAGTCAGCCGGCGAGACTTGGTGGCAGGAATTAATGGACTATTAACTGCAACAGGCCCACATACATGAGGGCCTGCATGGGGGGGTCCCAACAACGCTCCACGTTAAATCAGCCGGCGAGACTTGGCGGCAGGAATAAATGGACTATTAACTACAATAGGCCCACATACATGTACATGAGGGCCTGCATGGGGGGATCCCAACAACGCTCTACGCTAAATCAGCTGGCCAGACTTGGTGGCTGGAATAAATGGACTATTAACTACAACAGGCCCACATACATGAGGGCCTGCATGGGGGGGGGGTCCCAACAATCTTATGAGGGCCTGCATGGAGGGGTCCCAACAACGCACTACGCTAAATCAGCCGACTAGACTTGGCGGCAGGAATAAATGGACTATCAACTGAGGGTCTGCAAGGGGGGGTCCCAACAACGCTCTACGCTGAATTCGGAAACCTCTCAATTACACTTTACAATAAATTCCAGGTGGCTACAACGCATTACGTAGAATTAAAATGGCGAATACGCTCTACGCAAAATGAGAAGAGCGGTCCGTCTACGCTCTACGTAGAATTAAAACGGCCGATTACGCTCTACGGAAAAGGGCTTGCGGGCCACCTTAACTACGACAGTCCCACATACATGTACCTGTCAATCTTTTGAGGGCCTGCATGGGGGGGTCCCAACAACGCTCTACACCAAATCAGCTGGCCAGACTTGGTGTAAAAAATAATCTCCAAGCAGATGTAGCAGGCTACCTTATATAAATTTGCACGCACCGATTTTGCGAAGTTTTGTTTTTCCGTTCACGTTCGACTTGTGAAATGTCAATTTGAATCAATACTATAAACTCCAGCAGAAGCCAACCCATAAATATGCTGACATTATGGATGGGGCAAGTTGACTGGTATCTGGGCCATAAGGCAACAATAGCATGTTTCAAGTCTACTTTAAGAAATATTATATAATATTATATATATAATTTGCCAGACTTCTGTCACCATGGTAATTGGTGCTGTGGCAGACACACTGGTATCAAATTACATTATGTAGCAAGTTGCAGGACAGCGGACTGTTGTCTGGGCCAATACATGTATGCGCCAATATCATGTTACATATCACCTTTTTCTTCTTTTCATTCATTTAAATATTTATCCAGAACAAACAATTGGTGCTGTAGCAGACAATCTATGGTGTTGGGTTACATAATGGATGTGGCAAGTTGACTGGTGACTGGGCCAATATGCAAAATATCATGTTTCACATCAACTAAAGAATTATTGCCATCAATTTTGGTACCATGAGTTTGTTTTTTCTCTTTTTATATAAAGTTATCATAATTTTATAGTTTTTGCTCTGTTTTTCCAAACAATTATTGACTTCTAAAAGGGAATAAGGATGTTACAGTTACTCATACAAATGGAATCATCTGTTTATGAATTAAAAGTTTGCAAAAATTGTGATTGATACTCATTATAAGTGTGTTACAAATAAAAATCAGATTAAATTTTCCCAAAGCCCCGATTTTATGCCTTAAAATTTTCTTCCAAACCATCTACTCTCCTATCAGTATTCTCAACCCAGCTAAATCATTTAAGGTTGTTCCTGAACTTAAGTGCAGACATGTACGACCTTGGCACGTGTTTGACCTTGGGGAGCACCTCTGTAGTCAGCCCGGCTCCAAGACTCCGGTACTTAAGTGTTCGGTGCCTCCCAAGTGTCCGTCCTGCAATCTTAAGGTGTTCCCTTTGCCCCAACTTAAATCCCACACTTCATCAGCTAAGGCGTGATCGCTCAGGCAGAAAATACGCAGACACAACCCAGGTGCCCCCACAGGCCATTCTAACACAGTACAGTGTGTGTGTGTGTCTGTGCATGTGTGTGTCTGTGCATGTGTGTGTCTGTGCATGTGTGTGTCTGTGCGTGTGTGTGTGTGTGTGTGTGTGTGTGTCTGTGCATGTGTGTGTCTGTGCATGTGTGTGTGTGTGTGTGTGTTTGTGTCTGTGTGTGTGTGTGTGTGTGTGTGTGTGTGTGTGTGTG